CTGATGGTTGTGGTTGTCCCGATCGTTGTCCCGATGGTTGTCCCCATGGTTGCCGCGATGGTTGTTCCGATGGTGGTCCCGATGGTTGTCCCCATGGGTGCCCCGCCGGAGGAGGAGGAGGAGGAGGAGGAGGAGCAGCAGGACAAGGCGAGGCGGACGCATACGTGCTCTGGAAGCATACTAAAGAGACGAGTCTGTGTGCTCATCGTCTTCGAGGACCTACGGTGCGATTCGTGTGATTTTATGATGCGCGGTGCTAAAATTCTTAAGAACCCAATGGTTTTTGGAGATTTCGGCGTGCGCGCGCGAAGAAAAAACGAATGTGTCCCGCATGGTATTATTTGACAGGGATGATGGCCCTGGCAGGTGCGCAACCGTTGTCGCAGAAGTTCGAAAAAGTTGCTCGCAAAAGCCCGTTTGACAGAAATGTTTAAAAAGTGTTGGGTTTCCTACGAATCCGCAAGAGCGCGCGGGATGAGATTTTGACATTTTTTTGTTGAAAAACCATTGGTTTTTTGATGTTTTTATGTTAAAATCGCTCCGAACACTAAGCTTTTGGAAGGATTTCGTCTTGCGCGCGCGAATGTCCACTTTACCTTATTTTTTGCAAGGGATTCTTGAAATTTGATTATATTAGAACAAGAAATGTCATTTTATAGTGTTTTTTGCAAGGGAAAACGGATTACAACAAAACAACCGGATCTGGATCACATCGTTTTACCTGAGGCTTCCTCACGAAAATGATGAAAATGTAGCTGCGGCCTAGGCGGCGCAGGGGGGGCGCGCACCAGGGGGCCCAACAATAATTATTCTTTAGAATAAATAATGTTCAACAACAACAACAACAACAACAACAACAACAACAACAACAACAACAACAATTACTAGCACGTGGGGACACTCCGTTCTCACCAGTGCCAGGGTTTTCATAGGAGGCGGGCAATACCCCCACTTTGTGGGGGGGCCGGTTCAAGCTCTACCAAATTTCCAAACGACTCTTCGCCACCACCCACACCCAGCTTCCCGCCCTATGACGTTCGGACACTTCACTTCGTGGCATGCGGACGACCGTGGCTACTATTCAGGGCCCCGCGGCCGACGACGACGGCGTGCGCGCGCGAAGAAAAAACGAATGTGTCCCGCATGGTATTATTTGACAGGGATGATGGCCCTGGCAGGTGCGCAACCGTTGTTGCAGAAGTTCGAAAAAGTTGCTCGCAAAAGCCCGTTTGACAGAAATGTTTAAAAAGTGTTGGGTTTCCTACGAATCCGCAAGAGCGCGCGGGATGAAATTTTGACATTTTTTTGAAAAAACCATTGGTTTTTTGATGTTTTTATGTTAAAATCGCTACGAAAACTAAGGTTTTGGAGGATTTCGTCTTGCGCGCGCGAATGTCCACTTTACCTTATTTTTTGCAAGGGATTCTTGAAGTTTGATTATGTTAGAACAAGAAATGTCCACTTTACCTTATTTTTTGCAAGGGAAAGCGGGCGTCAACAAAACAACCGGATCTGGATCACATCGTTTTGCCTGAGGCTTCCTCACGAAAATGATGAAAACGTGGCTGCGGCCTAGGCGCGGCGGGGGGGGCGCGCACCAGGGGTCCCAACAATAATTATTCTTAAGAAGAAATAGTGTTCAACAACAACAACAACAACAATAACAACCATTTTAAGGCTGTGCGCTCTTACTTGCCCGCGAGTCATTCAACACGTATACCCTACACCCTCGATACCCGCCCTCTTCGTCTTCGATCACACCCCTTTCGGGGGGATTATTTCTCTTTGCTGGGGCCGGCGGGCTTAGACGTACGGGCAAACCGGAACGGGCGGACAATCCTTCGGGGGCGTACATCTCTCTGCCCGCCATTGGAATTGGCGCGGGCCCTGCAAGAGGAGGAGGGGAAGAACGAGGGAGAGTGGGAGGAAGGGGAGGGGGAAGGACGAAGGAAGAGGGAAGATACCACGTTGTGAAGGCGTCCTTGGCGCGTGCGTGGTTCCTGAGCGCCGAAACGCAATTCCATAATAATTTGTGAGGACGTCGCACGCGAGAGCGCAGTCCTGAGTACATTGTGAGGAAATCTCGGGCGGAAGCGGGGGCCCTGACTAAGTTGCGAGGAAGTCTCAAGCGGGAGCGCCGTTCCTGAGCAAATTGCACGGAAGTCTCAGGCGGGAGCGGGGGTCCTCACTAAATTGCGAGGAAGTCTCAGGCGGGAGCGCCGTTCCTGAGTCAATTGCGCGGAAATGTCAGGCAGGAGCGGGGGTCCTGAGTAAAATCCGAAGAAGTCTCAGGCGGGAGCGCCGTTCCCACGTAAATTGCACGGAAGTCTCGGCGGCGTGGGGGTCTTGATTACATTGCGAGGAAGTCTCAGGCGGGAGCGCCTTTCCTGAGTAAATTGCGCGGAAGTCTCAGGCGGGAGCGGGGGTCCTGAGTAAAAATCGAGGAAGTCTCAGGCGGGAGCCGTTGTTGTTGTAGCCCGGGGGGCAAGGGCACAGTTTG